TATTAGGTGCAAAAATGTTTACCCATGAAAAGCAATTGACATCCAATAAATATATTTTTGGACTGGTTTCATATGATAGTGCTGCATTATTGGTAATGTTGCCTAGATATATTTAAAATTTTTTTTTAATTTTGTTTATAATAAATAAAATTAATGTTGAAAACAATTACCGAAGCCAATGATCAGATAATGTCGGTACAGTGTGGAAGTGTGAAATGACAAGGCAGGAGGTTGGTCTCCAGAAGTGTTTAATTCGGAATATTGATAAGGGTCTGTTGTGATGTTTAACAACAAGTAATTAGGAAATAGCTGTAAATCATAACCTAAAAAAATAAAATAAAGAAGAAGAATAATAATTAATTCAATTCATTTGTCAAAATTACGAATGGGCAAATTAACAAATTTCATACCTGATGTTCCGCCTATTATAATAATCGATTTATTATTTGGAGTTAGTGTTGCCGTATGAGCAACTCTAGGCATGACTATAAATGGCGAGGTTGTATTCTGGGAATATAATATAAAGATAGTATTATTAAAATTTAAAACAATACAAAAGTTGACAATTATTTTAAAAATAATAATACTGATAATTTACCTTCACTGACCAACTCGAAGAAATTGTATTGAATACGGGAATCTGTAACGAGAGTATCCAATCAATTTTCCAATTTGCGCTTATACCCATAAATAAATATATACCTAATTAATGAACGACAACTTACCTCTGTCATTGATAACAAAGTTGTATTCATTCCAGGTGCTGGTTGGGTGACACCACCAATATAAAGAATCTTGCCATCCGGAAGTAATATTGGAGCAGCATGACTTCGAACTGAAGGTGCATTAACTGCATTTATTTGTTTCCATATTAACAAGTTTGTGTCAAAAGTATACATGTCATTATATAAAATAAGTGCGCGCGATGCCATAGCAAATTCAACCCTTCCTCCAAATATATAAATAATTCCATTCTTATCAATAACAGTGGAAGTTAATCTACGTCTAGTCGGTTGAGTTCCTACAACACCTTGTCCAAGTTGTCTCCAATCTCGTGCCGTATGTCTATAAATAAAAATCATTTGATCTGTCGGGTTGTAAGTCTTAAATATTTCTTCTATCATTAACGTTTGATTCGAAGTTATAGTTATATTTTGATCAATTTTATTAAGAAGTGCAAGGTCTTGTTGCGTACCCCCAATGAGATACGCATCTTCCTTGCTTGGACCACCGAGTACTATTGTTCCTAGATCATAAATGAAGAGATGTGAGTATTAGAGATGCGATCCGGTATCCGTTTTGTATATATAAATACCCGGTTCGAACCGGTTTTATATATAAAAACGGATACGGATCACATCTCTAGTGAGTATACACAGCATGTTATATACTATATACCATAATAATTAACTGTTTACCTTTTTCATTTCCAAATTTCATTCGTGCACCAGTGCCAGAAAGATCCACAAATGGAGGATCATTTGTAGAGAATGTGCTTAAAAGATCCAAGAAAAAGACTTCATCTGATAAATTATATTCTCTTATCCGGCTCTTAATGGGATTCGAGGATGGAATTGTGCGAGATCCTCCCATAAAATATAATTGAGTCCCTATTAATACAGCTTCTTGGCCAGCTCGACCTTCTGGTGTAAAATTACCAGCACTAATAACATCATATGGTAAAACTATTACGAAAAAAATAATTTTTATTAAAAGATTTGATTTTGGATTCCAAAGTGTATACATCATCAACAAATAAAGAGATAATGTTAATTCAGTGTAAATTTATTAAAATACCATTAAATAAAGCACAAACACCAACATTTTATAAACTTAAATAACAATAATTCGACCAATTGCGAATAAGATTCGTGAAAAAAAGGGACAGAAAATTTTCAGCCCAAATGAAATTTATCATAGTATTGGAAAGCTTAAATATTGGAATAAGTCTTCTGGTGTAATTATTATCAAATTATCATATTGGAATTTTTAATTTTTAAATTCAAATTACTTTTTATGCAAAAATGTGTTAACATAAATTAATGATCTTAAACTGTTATGGTTGCAATTTTCATTTTTTTGGATTAATTTGTGCATCATTATTCGTTTTTTAACAAGATTTTCAACTACAAATTAATTTAAATATACCTAAAAATGCGTGTAATAGACCCACAATGAATTAGACCCTATGCAAACCACAGGACCTTGATTAATCAAATATGTTTTTTTTCAAATAGCTGGGCTACCTATTATAAATATAAAATGAGCATGCACTTTAAATTTTTTTTCTTTTAACGAAATAATCTCTCAGCTGTGTACTATACCGGGGTCTATTGAAGGTTTTAAATTGATAGAATGTATTAAACCCGAGTCTTTTATATGCACTTTTGCGGTAATTTTGCTTTTTTTTTGTTATAATTTTATTATATTCTATGAAGAAGAGTATCACTACTAGTGTTGGCAGGCGAAACTATTTTTGGCAAATGGCGAAAGACGAAACTAAACCGACGAAAGACGAAACCTGGCGAAACTCTGGTGAAACTCTGGCGAAACCTCTGGTAAATTGAAACCCCTGGGAAAGTCAAAATTCGGCGAAGATCAAGCCCTCTAAGACTTTAAAAAAGACTGAGCCATGTTAGTAAATCAAATTATTTGCATATGGCTATTAAGCACAGCATGCGGCTTATTTAAAAATGTACAAAAGCAATAACCAAATTGATAGCTTTTTGTTTGTATTCAAGTACTATTAAAGAAATTAGATTTCTGGCTTTTGGAACTTCGAAGTAAATAAATTCAGCCTTGAAAATTCAAAGGCTAAAATCTTGGTTTTTTTTTTATAGTAGCACTTATCTATGGATTAATATTATTTATGTAAAATAAACCTATCTAAATATTTAAATAAATTTATTGTTAGAGTGTTGAGATTTTTTCTTTTTTAGTATTTTATCATTAAAAACTTTAATTAAATACTGAACATATGTAAATAGTTTATTAACACTATTATTGCAGGTAAATATTTCCCGATGGGTTATTTTATCCAGCTCTAAATCTTAGAGCTAACTTTAAGAAAATAATATATAGTTATTGGTGCGTAGCGTCCAATAATGGTATTATCCGTCAGATTACGACGATCGGGCATAACATGAAGCGAGTAAATAAGTTGAAATTAAAAATATATATAACGTTAAATAAAAGATAATATCGTATCATGTAAGCAAGAAATAGTGTAAGAGTATTTATTACAAAACAAATACAAAAAGGATTGCT